GGGGACAGCTGGAGGAGTCGGGGACAGCTGGAGGAGTCAGGACAGCTGGAGTCAGGGACAGCTGGCGTCCGGGGAAACCTCCCCTGGCACCATGGAAACTTCTAAATAGAGCCTCATAGTACTTTCCTGGAGTCTGATGATTTGCTGTTGGGTGCCAGGCTGTGCCCCGCCACCCTTCCCCCTCCCAGTTGGCAGCCCCTGGAGAATGTCACTGCTGAAGTGGCCTCGTGCACTCCACACCATCCTCAGGGCCTCTGCTCAGGAGTGGCCTCATCATGGCACTTAATCCTCTTCCATGCTGAGTATGCTTGGATAGGGGGTGTGTCAGGGTCCCTGTACCTGTCCTCCTGCTCCAGGCAGGACTGAGAGTCAGGTCAGAGGCCTCAGGGCCTCCTGGAAGGGGCTAGAATGACCTGCCTGTTCCACAGCCCCGCACCAGGCCCCTTACACCCCAGGGACTTTTGATACATCAGCACAGTAGAAACTGTGTCTGCGGCTCCTGGAGAGCTACCACCCGCAGGCTTTATCCCGCGGGATCCTCACCACCAGCCCCACAAGTTGGGCTTTATAGTTAGACCCATTTTACAGAGAAAGAGGCTGAGGCTCAGACAAGTTAAGGCACTGGCCAGAAGTCCTGCAGGACTCCAGCTGGGTGTCATGACTCCAGAAGTCTGCACATTCAGCCTCCCCACTGTCTTGCCAGAGCTAGCAGGAGGGGGCTGGGGCCACAGCTCTGGCGGACACGGCCTCAGGACAGACTGCTCGCAGGGTCTGGCTAGGGCAGCCAGGAAAGCTGATCCCCCAACCCAGGATTTCACAGAGATGGAAATGAAGGTGAGGGCCTTAACTGGACATTAAGGAGAAAATAAAAACCCTTATAAATGCCCCTTGTGAACAAGATAAAACAAGACTGAAATTGAATACAATAAATGTAGACTAATTTAATATGGAGCTTCATTTCTTTTTGACTCAAAGTCAAAGCTGGTCAATGTGAGTGTATTTAATATGGTGGCCAGCCAGGGAGGCGTGGGGGAGAGGCCATGGTGTGCTCCCTGAGGCTGGCCCAGGAGGGGGAGGGGGGCGGGCTCAATCCCTCCCAGGCTCCAGGTCCCACCTTCCGCGGAGCGTTGTCCCCGCACAGCCCAGGATCTGGGCCATGGGAGCAAGTGGTTGAGCCCACTCGCATCCCTGGGTCACCCCTGCGGGCAAGCTGCCCGCCTCCTGAGGGCTGGTCACCAGGTGGTCCCACGGCCCGCTCCTAGGGCCTGAGGCTGCGGGGCCAGGGTGAGTGGCACACCCCTGCCCCTTTGTGTCCCTGAAGGAGCCACGGTGCTGTTCCTGAATGCCACAGACCTGGACCGCTCCCGGGAGTACGGCCAGGAGTCCATCATCTACTCCCTGGAGGGCTCCTCCCGGTTCCGGATCAACGCCCGCTCAGGTGAGCCCTGTTCTGGTCCTCTGCACCTCAGGCTGACTCGCCGTACCCAGCCCAGGGCTGCCTCTGGGCCAGGGTCTCCACCCCCTCACAGGAAGCCCCCATTTTTGAGCAAGCCAGCTTTGCGCGCCTGGTTTATCCCTGAATGTTAATTTGGGTGTGATTACTAATCTCAACCCCTCCTCAGAATCACAACGTGAATTTATCCACTGAAGGGTGTCTTTCGATGGTGAAGAGCCCTGTTACGTGTAAAATGTGTTCCATTTTACAGAGGGCCGGCTAACATACCACTCTTCAGGGCCACCTTTCTTCAAGCCTAAGTGTCGCCCTCCCTCAGCTGCCCACCTCATTCTTGAATCCTTCTCCTCTTCCTAACACGGCGTGTGTCTCGGCTTCCCCACCTGCAAAATGAGGCTGCTCCTATTCAGACTGTGGTGTGGACTGAGTCATTCCAGGGATCACCCTTGGAGGAGCCCCTGGCACAGAGCAAGTGCTAACAGTTAGCTTATCACCAGCATTCTGCCTGGTCTTTTCACCCAGGGGCCCCCATCCCCAGCTGCCTGCTCAGCCCATGTAACTCTCACCTTTCTCTGCGTTTCTCCACATGCCTCCCACCAGATCTCTCTCTGCCTTGAAGCTTCGAGGGCTTGTGTGGGGGACATAAAAAAGCAACAAGGGACCCCAGGCTTTTCAGCCAGAACCTGGGAAGGAACGTGAGGCCCCTGGATATTCACTCAGATATTCATTCAGCTATCAATGGGGGCCTGCTCTCTGCCGGGTACTGTGGTGGGTGCTGGGGTGCAGGATGGAATAAGACAAGGCCCTTCCCTCACAGGGTTCCAAGTCAGCTTAGTGGGCATGCGAGGCTCCCCACTTCCAGGTACCTATTTCTGTATCAGGTAAGGGAGCTGTAGATGTTAAACAGGCAAACCCTGAAATCTCAGTGGCTTAACACAACAGAAATTCTAACTCACACAGCAGTACAATGCCGTGTTCAGTGGGCAGCCTTCCACGTGGTGATTCTGGGACCCAGGCCCCTTCCATGTTGTGGCTTCAAGGTCACTGCAGAAGGGAAAAGAGAACATGGAGTATTGTGCAAGGAGATGTTTATAGGCCAGGCCTGGAGGTGACATATGTCACTTGTTGCCACATCCCAGTGGCCAGAACCAGGCAATGGCCCTGGCTGGATGCAAGGCAGGCTGGGGAACGTAGTCCCTGGCCTGACAGCCACTTTCCAGCAACCATTCTAGCCTGGGAAGGTAGCAGGAATCCTTGGTGGACTCTGGCCATCCCTGCCACAGGTGGTCAGTGACCCAGCAGGGCGTTAAGTCTTCTGTCCATGCCTCTCTGGTCAAAGTCTGCCTTCAATCTCTCTTTCATCCCTTTTTCCTGGAAGCTTGGGGAGCAGATGGCTGGTGCTGATGTGGACAAAGACTGAACACATCCAGGGCCATCCTGGGCCTTCCTCCCTGCTCTCAGGAGCATCCACCCTCTGGCAGCTCACGTTTCCAGGGGACTCAGAGTAATATCGTTAATTAACATTGACCAGGTGCTCAGCCCTGTTCTAAGTGCTCTGACCCGCGTTGTCCCAGTTCGCCTTCTTCACCACTCCGTGAGACAAGTAGTAGCATTATCCCCATTTTCTAGATGAGGAAACTGAGGCACAGGAGAAGTTAAGTAACTTGACTGAGGACTCGGAGAGCCTGAACTCCTGACTCCAGAGCCCAGACTTTGAATGCTACATTGTATAAAGCCACGTTAGAGCCACATGCTGCCACCCAGATACAGCGATGGGCACAGTGACCTTTCAGTGTCCTGCCCTGCCTCCCCAGTCAGGGACCCCGTCTCCACCCCGGGGCCTTTAACAATGACATGGACATTTTCCTGCTGCCTTAACACAGCTCCTTCGGCTCCCAAGGTGTAAGCGTTTTCCTCTGAGCTCCTCGGTCAAATTAGCCAGGCCTGCTCCACAAAGGTGGCCTTAATTGGATCTAATTTCCCAGACAGAAGGAGCCATCTATCATGCCGACAAGTTCATGTTTAAAACTTTTTAGAGATTAATTTCTTCCTCGCCCTGCCAATTAATTGATACCACCCCAGCAAGGAGCGTGGCTCAGCAGGCAGACCTTTGCCAGTCTTTCTTTCCTGGCCTTCGTGCCTTTGCTGCCCTGTCCTCCACCCCCAGCTCCCTCTCAGCCATGCACAGGCCAGAGGACAGGCCAGTGTGGCAGGAAGGGAAATGTGAGAGTAGAAGGATGCCTAGCGGCCGTTGGCCCAGCTCCCTTGTTTTATGATAGAATAAACCAAGCACAGAGAAGTCAAGTAACTTGCCCCAGGTCACCCAGCTTAGGCAATGGGGATAAAAAGATGCACAGCACACAGTCCCCTTGGAGAGCTTCCACAGCCCATTGGAAGGAAACTAGCATTTTCTGTGTATTGGGAGCTTCACCTACAGTCATTTAATCCTCACGACAGCTCTGATTCAAGGGCATACTAATCTCCATTTTACAGATGAGAAACAGAGACTCAGAGAAATTAAGTAATTTCCCCAAGGCCAAGCATCTGGAAGGGGCCATAATCAGAATTCAAATCTGGGTCTCACTGCCCTCAAATACAGGCTCATTCCTGTGGTCCATGTGAGATGGTCAATGGCCTGGCTACCGTGCTCACACCTGCTCGCAGGATGCAATTGCGTGCATCTCTTCCCAGATCCAAGTTCAATGCCATCAAGTTGGCAGTTTAAAATGGGCCCTGGTGGGAATATTTACACCATGGAAATCGGCAAATGCCTTTTTTTTTCTTTTGGGGAGCTGGCTGTCAAGCATTTACTAGCACACCACTACCAGATGACTTCCATATTTTAGTTATACTAAATACAAAGAAAAGTCAAAACAAGCTGACAAAAATTATGGTCTATTTTAAATGTTTGTATTAATAGAATAACTTGCTTATGCACTAAAAAAATTCAAGGCAATATGATTATGTGACTCAGGGTAATTAAGGACATTCGTTTATAACTATTAATTCTCAACGCACCATAGGTTGAACTGTCCAGTAATGAGTCATAAGTCAGAACATGTGTGAAACACTTGCCGTGTTTCAGTCCTGCTGCTGTATTTCCGTGACTGTATGGATAAACAGTGCAGGCGCAGTTCTGAGCTTTCCATGGAAACTAAATCCATCCCACAACAGCCCTATGACATAGGTCCTATCATTGTTCCCTTTTGACCAGATGAGGAAACCGAGGCACAGAGACTTTAAGTAACTAGTTCCAGTGATAAAGCCAGGAAGCTGATGGCAGAAGTCTAAAGGAAAGGTCCTTTGTGACAGAGCTTGAGGCCAAGTAGCCCTCCTGCCCTATTCTCCAGCCCCCAACCCCGTGATCAGCCTCGGGTTTCTCACATCTGAAAATACCCCCTCATCACTGGGTTATATTGCCCAGCTCTGAGTTTCTGAGGTGCTACCCTCGCTCCCTCCGTGAGTACCATCTCACCACCCCACAGTGCGCGCATGTACACATGCACACTCGCACGCACACTCTGCTGGATCATTTGATCTCGCAAGCATCTCTTTCGTGCTCTGACTCTCCTTCCTTCTTGTGCTCTCTCCCTCCTTCCCCGATCTCTCCCTGACCCACCCAAACTTCACCTCTCTCCTGCAGGGGAAATTACCACCACCTCCCTGCTCGACCGTGAGACCAAGTCTGAATACATCCTCATCGTGCGAGCAGTGGACGGGGGCGTGGGCCACAACCAGAAAACTGGCATCGTGACTGTGAGTGCCCACGCCTCCCCTGCCCCCCAGCTCCCACTTGCCGATCAGGTGCTGCTCCCCAGTCATCTTCAGGTTGTACCTCTTAGGCCTCAGGACACAAAGTGAGGCAGTGGGAGTGAAGTGAGGGTGGCAGGTACCAACCCACTGTCAGCCAAGGTCAGCCCTGGGGCCACTACAGCTATAGGGAAGAAAGGCATTCCCACCTGGGACGTGGGGCACTTAAGAGGGGCAAATATTTTCTCACCTGCCCCTAAAAGACCAGCTGGGCAGGTAGCAGAAGGCTTGAGCCCCATGGGCCCCTCGCTACCCTGGCACCTGCCGAGAAACAGGAGCAGGTATTCTTGCCAGGAAGAGTGGCTCAGAGCAGGAAGCAGTGCCCTGGAGGGTCCCCGGGGGCTTGCACCACCCCACCCTAACACTGGTGGTGCCAAGAAAGGATGCTGGGTTTCCCTGCCATGAGTGAGTAGGAGCCATGAAGGCCTGGAGGCCCAGGCCTTGTCACCCTGCCAAGGGTGCCTCAGAGAGTGGGAGGCTAGAGGAGGGACATTGGAGGGTCCTGACTGAGCTCTTGGCTGCTGAAGAGAACGGGGGAGTGAGAGTCAGTAAGACCCTCTGTGGGAGAGGAGGCTGATGGGCTGATGGTCACTCCAGCCACCTCCCCTCCTTGGTCCTCATTTGCTTTCTTCGGCTCTCCCTTGGGAGCCCTCTCCTGACCTCTCTCCATGGCCCACACCCTACCAACAGCAGGTGCCCCTATCCTTGTCCGGCCAGAGGGGCTGGGGTTGGTATCTCTGGGCCAGGGAAGAAAAATCCTCAGTGCCCTGTTCTGTCACGAGAGGCCCCTGCTAATAGGATTCAGAGCTCTATAAATAATTTACCCAGCTGCCAGGTGAGCAGGGAAATTGCTTGGCTTGTAGCTGAGACTGACTGGGAAGCTCAAGAGATTTGATTGGACTCCCCATCCCAGACCTCCCTCACCCTGTCAGACACCTTCAGCCAAGACTAGGGATGGGGTGGGAGAAGTCCCAGGTCACAGGAAGGATTTCTGGGTCATTTCATCCTTTCCCAGCCTCCTGATGGGACTCGGAAGGGTCCTGGCTCCCTCCTGTCCTTGGAAGTCCAGGCCCTGTCCCGAGGCCCCCAGGTTGGGTGGAGGTGGTGGCATTAATGCCAAGATGCCCCATAGGCATCTGAGTGTGTCCCCCTCATGGGCCCTGCCCTCGCACAGCTCAGCTAGGTGCGTCCCACAGTGCCCCTTTTGGCTTCACAGGTCAATATCACCCTCCTGGACATCAACGACAACCACCCAATCTGGAAGGACGCTCCCTACTACATCAACCTGGTGGAGATGACCCCTCCAGACTCTGACGTGACCACGGTGAGTGGTGGTGAGACAGCAGAACTGCCAGGCCACCCTTCCTAGAGGGTGTTTGCCATTCCCTGTGAGCCCTATGGACCTGCCCTTGGGGGGCTGATGAACTTAATGTTTCCCTCTGAGCCAGCCCTTGGGGCAGAGTTCCAGAATCTCTCTTGCATGGTGAAAGATAGTCAGAGGTCAGGGGAAAGCCGTTACCCAGTCCTCAGGGACAGTGGGCTTCAGGCTTTGTCGGAGGGTGCGCAGGCAGCCCAGGGATGGTGCCAGGGGAGCTAGGGCCAGTTCAGCTTGTAGCCTCACTTGCCCTGAGACCCTAGGGCTCTGGCCACCCCCTCAGGAGAGCGCCCAGCCCTCTCAGCAAGTCAGGCCCCTCCCTCAAAGTGCACAAGCTTCAGCTCTGTCCAGCCTTCCCTTTACTGCTCTGTCACTGCCGCCATTGGCCTGGGTCAGCTCCCTCCAAGGCTGACTCCCAGCGTGGGGTTGAAGTTCACCCAGGGATCTCCTGGCACGGGATGTTCCAGGTTTGCACAGGCCCCTGTGCGTGCTGAGTGCGTGTACGCCGAAGTGCTGTGTGCAGGAATGTGACTTGTGGTGGGGAAGGGAGACATAGCCTTGGGGAATCCAGAATCGAGACTGATGTCCTCGGGAAGCTGAGGAAAGCCAGGGTCGAGCACCCCACTTGATCTGCTCTGCTCTGGGGTTCACATTTGTGAGGCCTTCTCCTCCCCTCACCCTTGTGCTCCATTTTGCCTCATTTGGGGAGGCTTGTCCCAACATCCAGACCCACAGCCACCCAGCCAGCCTTAAGATGGCCACGAATCTCACAGCTCCTGGCCACCCCATGTATTGAAGGCCTGGGATGGGCCAGGCGCTGCACTGGGGGCCTCTCATGAATTCTCTGTCATCCTCATAATGTCACATGGCAGATGGACTCACTGCTCCCCTTGGACTGTGGAGGATACTGAGGCTTACAGTGTGAGGGGCTTGCCAGAGCTGGTAAGGTCCCAGAGCTAGTAAGAGGTCGTGCCAGGACTCGAACCCAGGTCTGTCTGACTTTGAAGCCACCTAGCCCAGCCCGTATTCCTTTGCTGGCTCGGGAGTGCCCTGGCAGGTGGCCCAAGCCCTGAGAACTGGAGAGCTGGGGTGGGACGGGAGAAGGGTGGTGACTTGCACACCCAGTTCTCCGGGAAAGCTGCCCCTCCGCCCTCCCAAGCTCAGGCAGCCTTGGGCTGGTGATGCCTGGCTTCCCCGCCCCCAGCCCTCATCAGCTACACCCCATGGTGACAAGGTCCCCCGGGGTCTAGATGGGAGAGGATATCAACCTAGACAGAAGGACAAAGAGAGGGGGAGGGTTGGCAGTCACACCTGTCCTGCCCTCCTTTCCACGTGTCCAAGATCTGAATGGTTCTCAGCTGGTGTGCAGGTCCCCCTCCCAGAGATTCCAGTAGGTTGGGGGCCAGGGGTCTGGAATCGGTGGTTTTTCAGAGCTCTGAGTCGGAGGATTCCTTCCAGCCCGGGGCCAGATTTGGAAACCACCACCCTGGGCCATTTCCACAGCTTTCTAGGGCTTCAGAGCTGATGGGTGCTCTCTGCTGCCACCTTGTGGGCTCTAGCCCAGGACAGCCCCAGGCAGGGACCCCAAGAGGGCTGGATGCCCACCTCTGAACACCTGTCTGGTCAACTCTTACCCTTGCTTTATGTTTCTGGGAAGTTCCTCCCAGAAGGAATTGAGGGGCAAGTGAGGAAAGGGTCTCTGGGAGAAAGTGGCTGCATGGGACACCAGCCAGTGGAGCCGTTACTGAAGAGTCCACCTGCTGGGCAAAGAGTAGATCTGCTGGGCTGGGCATTTCCCAGATCTGGTCCCCAGTGGCCTTCTCAGGGTCTCCAGCCTTTCCTCACATCCTTCTGGGCCATGAGCAGGTGTGGACAGTGGGCCAGGGGCCTGCTGCCCAGCACCTCCTCCCTCTCCAGGAAACCTCAGCAAACCTTCAGTGAGCACTCACTGTGTGCTGGGCCCCGAGCTCAGCAGTCTCAGGGAACAGGAAGCAACACTCCTGCTCTGCTCAAGGAACTTCTTGTCACTCTTTTGCTCAAACCCACCACTGCTTCCCATCCCACCCTACGTAAGAGCCAGAGGCTTTCCCAGAGCTACGTAGCCCACAGGTCACCCCACCTGTACCTCTGGGGAGACCGACGTGTGAGCCCACCCCTCAGTACAGAGTGGACGTGGCCTTTCTTCCCCTGGGCACAGGGTGGGCACAGGATTGGGCTACTCAAGCTTTCCAGTGACCCAGGGTAGTGTTGAGACGTAAAAAAAGTATAATGTAATGACTCAGAAGTTCAGAAAGAAAAGGGGAAACCAAAATTAAAATTGTTCTGTTAAAGATCTACCAAATATATTATGACAACTTTAATAATTATGAAATTTAGTGTTTGTAAAAATTTCACTACATTTGAGGACGAATTATAGGTTAAATTTTCCAGAATTTTTGAGAATTTTCCAGAACTCTCTGGAATTCCCAGTTACGTGTGGTGATTGCCAGGACACCAGAAATCAAGAAGCCAATACAGTAATTGAATTTGTCATAGCAAAATAATTTCGAAAGGAATAGTCATAAAAATTCTTTCAAATTGTATAGCTGTGAAATGTATGTGTGCATATATATGTGGGTACATGTTAGTACCTTGAGGGGACCCCCAGGGGGCTTCTGAGGCCCCGGGTGAGGTAGGGGCGGTGGCTGAGGTGTGAGAGGAGGCTGCAGGGGAGGGAACAGCTAACCCAGAGGTGACATCAGGAGGAGGTGATATTTGAATAGGACCGGCCCACATCCTGACTCATCTCCCACCACCCTCCCACACCCACCACACTCCTCCCCACAGCACACACAGTGGCCTCTCAGTTTCCTGAACCCACTAAACTCTTCTACATCAGGGCCTCTGCACAAGCTCTCCCTGCCCCCAGAGTGTTCTTCCTCTTCTCCTCACCCCTGCTCTTTCCATGGCTGGTTCATTCTCCTCTGTCTGTCCCAGCTTAAAATACCCCCCTGCAGAGAGGCCCTCCCTGAGTACCCCACCTAAAGTAGCTCTGCCCTCTCCATACTCGGATTCTTTCAGAGCTGGTCCCACAGTCTGTATGTGTTTGTTAGGTTGCTTGCTTATTAAGAGGGAACCTAGCTTTGTGATTAAGTGGACAACCTCTGGTACCATAATGTCTAGGCTCTAATCCCAGTCTCACCATTTTTCCAGCTGTGTGACCTTGGGCAAGTTACTTAACCTCTCTGTACTCCAATCTTCTCATCTGAAAAATGGAGATAGCTAGAGTCCCCACTGACAGTGTGGTCAGCACTTAGTGAGCCAGGATACACAAAGTGTCCTGGCACATGGGGAGTGGTTGATAAAGGATGGCTGTCATTATCATCGTCGTCCGCCTCCCTGCTGGAATCACACCTGTCTGTCCACTGTTGAGCCCCAGTGCCCAGCACAATGCCAGGCACGTTGTAAGAGTTCAAAAGACTTGTGAATGAAAGTTGTCAGGGACTTTTGCTTACCTTCCTTCCGCACCCAGCAGGCCCCAGCTCCGCCAGGTCGGGTTGGGTCTTCCTTGTCAGAGAGAGACCAGGGCGTGCGCTGCAGGACTCTCCCACGGGCCCCTCAGGAGGGGGCGCTGGCCCTGGGCCCTGGATCTGAGGCGTGGGCGAGCCCAGTGGTTCTTCAGAGCTTGTGTGCAGACGAGTGTGTGCCTGCATTCGGGTGTACTTGGAGTTGGTGGGGCGTGTGTGTCTGCGTGCACACGTGTGCACCGAGGGCGTCCACCCGCACAGGCGTGAGCTTGCCGAGTGGCCGTTCTCTGTTTGCAAGTGAGATTCTGGCCCTGCTCTCCCTCCGAGCTCCTGCAGCCACCTTCAAGGACCTGGCTTATGGGCACTGATTTAGAGCCTGTCAAAGCCCTCCAGCAAAATCGAGGAGAGGGAGAGGGAGAGCACTGTTCCCGTCAGGCCAGGAGAAAAATGAGGGGTGTGAAATGGGAAATATATGAGGGGAAAGTGGTGAGATTCTACAGAATCGCCCAGCAGGGAGCCTGCAGGAAGGGCCACAGCCCACCACCCTCTCCCATGCCCCGCCCCCACCCCATGAACAGGAAGTGGCCAAGAGGCCAGAAATCAGAGCCCACCCACCAACCAGGGTCACTTGGAAGCAGCCACCTTAGACCTCCTGGGGCACTCGGGTTGGGGGAGAGAAGAGTGGAAGCCCCGTCCCGCCCCCAAGTGAAACGGATCTCAGTGCGTTCAGCAACAGGCTACTGGCCTGGAACAGGTCATTTAACTGCTCTGTACCTCAGTTTCCCCATCCAGAATAATGGGAATTAAAGACTATCTCCCTCCTCTGACTGTAGAGAGAAGCGTTGTAGAAACGCAAGGCTTGCTGGTCTCCTTCGTCCGTTAGTAGAATGACTTTGCCCGGCTGAAGTTACACCTGGAGTAGCTAGGAGCCCTGTGGTCAATACGGGGTGATTGGGTCCCCATTACAGAGGCTGGGGAAACTAAGGCAACATGCCCACAGCACAGTGAGGGCTCCTCAGGCCTGGAAGGCTACAGCCTCCCCCACCCCTGCCCCTTGGTGCAGCAAAGCTGGGAAGGGAGGGTGGCTGAGCAGAGTGGGCTGGGAGTAGGGCTGCCTCCCCCTCTGGAGCAGAAGAGGGCCTGGAGCGATCAGGGTCATCAGCGGCATCGGCCTCCCCCCCCCCGGCCTCCCTGGGGCCTAGGGGCAGATGGGAGCCCTCAGCCAGGGCAGCCCATCTGTCTGTTCTGGTCTGGTGGCCCCACAGACACCTCGGCTGGGGATTAAGCCAGAGGAGGGACAGATTCTGCTGCCAAAGCACAAAAGGCCCCACATCAAGTAAGATGAAGGAGCTGACGAGGTCAGACTGTCATCGCCGAGAGCCCTGGAATTAAGAATGACACTGTCCTGATGTGACCCTGGGGACTGTGGTCACCCCCTCCATTGATCTTGTGCACCTCTGGTGCCACAGTGGCCCCTGGGGGGGGCAAGCTGGGGGTGGGTGCCATGCTGTCCTGGGACCCTAGGAGGCCTCCAGGGTGGGAGCAGGGTTGGCCCCAAGACTGGTGCTGTGTGACCTTGAGTCTAGCCCTGGCCTCTCTGAGTCCTGCTTTCCCCTTGTGGGAGGTGGACAGCTGGAGAAGTCCCCCGCAGAGCGGGGGCTTGGCGGGCACAGGACCTGGGAGAGAATGGGCTGTGGGGTCTGCTGCCCTGGATTAGGACAGTGCCGAGCGTGGACCTTTTAGGGGGTGAGGCTTACAAGTGAGGAACCAATGGGGGCTGGACAGTTAAAGGGGCCAGCGTGTAGGGGGCCCTGTGCTGAAACCCTCCCCCTCTGGGGGATGGCGCTCCCCCCCTCCAGGGAGACTCAGCCTCTCTCCCCTTCCCCCAGCCTCCCCTCCCAGCCTCATGACTGTCCCAACTTGCTGGGACCCCCCCCTCCAAACTGGGTGGCTTGTCCATGGCCCCCTTCCCATGCCCCGTCCTCCCTGGTGTCACAGAGGCCTAATCTCTTCAAATCGCCTCATAAGCAAAAGCTCCAAAGGAAGGAAGAGAAGGTTAGATGATGAGGAACCCAGTTCCCAAAATCCAGAGTTTCAGTTTCTTCCAAAAGCTCAGCCAAGCCTTCAGACTCCCCAGCCCCTACCTAGAAGAGTTCCATGGTCATGGACCTACTGGGGCCCCCTGCTCTCCCAAAAGCCCGTGAACATGTCACCCTGCGTATCTGGAGAAGAAGGCAGTGCTGCCTGCTGGCTACTCACGTGGGCTCTGGAGGGACCCAAAGCCACTTCCTGGCTGGGAGACCTGGGGAGCCTCGCTGAGCCCCATCTGTGATATGGGCATAATTTAGGTATCTACCTCATAAGGCTGTTGACACGGTACGTGGAGGGGACCTGGCATTTATGAGATATTGGGAGCCTCCATATGCCGGTGTGCTAGGCATTGCTTTTACGGATCAGAAGGCCGAAGCTTAGGTGGGGAAAGGGGCTTACCAAAGGTCACAGCTGAGTGAGTGAAGAAGCCAAGGAGCCCACGACTTCTGCTGATGCATCTTCTGAACCTCCTGCCTCCCAACCCCCTGGATCCCTGCTGGATCCAGGAGGGAGGCCCAGTTCGTGTGTCTGAGCCAGGATGCCTCCTGCTCCCAGGCAGTGGGGAGCTGGGACGTGGGTGTGAGCTCGCACAACCCAGGCAGGCAGCCTGGGGGACAGAGACACCCTCCCTGGGCTGGGCTCAGTGGAGTGTTGGTTCCCTCCGGGCAGGTGGTGGCCGTGGACCCAGACCTGGGGGAGAATGGCACCCTGGTGTACAGCATCCAGCCACCCAACAAGTTCTACAGCCTCAACAGCAGCACGGGCAAGATCCGCACCACCCACGTCATGCTGGACCGCGAGAACCCCGACCCCCATGAGGCGGAGCTCATGCGCAAGATCATTGTCTCTGTCACTGACTGTACGTGCCCTCTGCCGCTCGCAGCCCCATATACCTGGGCTGTGGCCCCTGACACTTGGCCTGGGGACCTCCCCTGGTGACTTGTCCTCTAGGCGTCCTGGGGCCTACTGTGTCTTGATCCCTAAGAATGGAGTTACACCCACTTCCCAGTTGTGACCCCCAGGGCACCCTCCAGGGTTGGAGGGAGTTGGGGGTGCAAGGCCCAGGCTGCTGCCTGGAGGGACCCCTGGGGTGGAGGGTCACAGAACCTGTCCCCCTCTCTCCACTCATCTTTCTCCCTGTCTCTTTTTCTCATGCACCCCTTTTTCCCTCCCCTCACCTCCCTCTGTCCCCGGTGCCCCAGGCGGCAGGCCCCCTCTGAGAGCCACCAGCAGTGCCACAGTGTTCGTGAACCTCTTGGACCTCAATGACAACGACCCCACCTTTCAGAACCTGCCTTTTGTGGCCGAGGTGCTTGAAGGCACCCCTGCGGGGGTCTCCGTCTACCAGGTGAGTTTCCCTTCCTGGCCTGAGGTCCTGCTCTCTGTCTCCCACCTCATCCCTCCCAGCCACCAAGGGGGCAGTGGGTGCCATGGGTGCCCAGCCTCGTGCTGAACACTTTGCAGGGGCGGGGCAGGGGTTGCCAGCCAAGACCACCAGACAGGACACAATCCACGCAGGCTTGGAGATCCAGTGCTCTGAGAGATGGTAATGGAAGTCTCCTGGAGGAGGAGGAGCTTGAGCTGGGTCTTGAAAGACAGGTGGATTTGGAGAGGTGGAGGGAAAGCACCACAGGAGATGGATCAAGACAGAGACAGGGAGGGAGGGAGGAAAGGAGGGAGGGAGGCAGAGACAGAATTCTGGGAAGCCAAATCAGAGAGTTTCTCAGAGCATGATTACGGAGGTCTGGCCCAAGACCCTCAACACCCTAAGGTGGTTCTGCAGGTGGTTCTAGAACACAAAGAAGGTCGGATGAGTATAGCCCAGGCACCCGCCCTCCAGGACAGCCCTCCATCCTGTGCTCTTCCGTAAGCCCCCAAGGCAGCTCCACAGAGTGGGTGGGACTCTTCTCACTTTGTAGGAGACTTAAAGAGACTTGCCCAAGTCCCTGTGGCCAAGAAGAGGTAGGGCCCAGTCTTGAACCCGGCCCCTCTGACTCTGCTCCATCACCCTTCTGGGCAGGGAGGCCCTGAAGGTGCTGGTTCAGGGGAGCTGATGCCCTAACAGGGGCTGTTTAGGAACGCTGGAAGGTCCTCATGATTAAGAGCATGGGCTTTGGAGTGCAACCCAAAAGGATGTGGATCCCAACTCCAACATCCGTGTGCTGTGTGACTTAGAGCAAACAACTTAACCTCTCTGGGCGTCAGTTTTCTCACCTGTGAATAGAGATCATAACAGTACCTGTCTGGCTGTGCTGTGGGGACTCAGGTGTGAAGCGACCTAGCACTTGGACTGCAGGAGACACACAGTGGTTGATGTGTTCATTATGTGTCTATCATGAGGGTGTATACCGGGAAGACAGCGGGATCCAGTGACAAAGAGTTAGCCTGCTCCCATTTGAAGAAGACAGAGTTGCTTGTCAGGATGCCGGAATGGGTGACCTGGCAGTGCCCTGCAGACCCACTGTGCCTCAGTTTCTTCGTCTGTAAAAGGAGATAAACAGGGTTCTTTGACAGATTCCAGGGAGCATTGTCTCCCCAGCAGAACATTCACCCCAAAACCCCAGCAGGGGGAGCCGCGATCCAAGGAACAGCAGCTGGTCCCTGAGGAGGGGTCCCCAAATGGGGGTGGTGACAGAGCGAATGAGCCCCCAGACCCAGATCTCCAGGGCTCCCACATGGCAGAGGAAGGAGGTGTCCACCAGTACAACTTCTGGTTCACAGAGGAACTGGCTCAGAGTCACAAGAAGATGGTCGAAGGAGCTGGGAGGGTTTAACTTGGAAACTGTCTTCAGACACAGGAAAAGGGTTCTGACTTGAGCTGTGCAATTCCCCTGGTCCCATCTGGGAACTCAACAATCCTTCTGCTGGATGTGCAGAACGTTCTGCAGGGATGAGAGCGGTGTGCAGATAAATTAGAAGTAGTGAGCCCCCCATCCTGGAAAGCATTCAAGCTGAGTCTGGACACCCTCTTGTCCAGCTTGTTTGGTGTGAGTTAGACCAGATGACCTTGATGTTGTCTTTCAAGCCTAAGAGGCTTGGCTTGATCCAAAGCTCTTATTTTAACTGTTTTACACATTTTTCTCAAATGGCTTGAACCCTCTTCTGTAGAACTTCCAACACATCAGGGTCTTGAGTCGGGACATCCCTCATCAGGACCGGAGGTGCAAATGGGACGGTGTGAGGACCTGAGAGGAGGCTGGCCCACACATGGCCTCAAATGGCTTTTTAAAATAATCATCAACTCAAGTGATTTTTAAAAACTGCTCCTTGATATCATCGTATTTTTATTGTTGTTTTACAAATCAAAACAATACTAAGCAGGGGAGGGAATCCTGTTAACTGAGGGTCCTGTGTGGTGGAGCTCCATATAATCGGAGGGCTCTTTGGGCTGTGACGACTGCTCCAAGCCAGGGTCGTAGGGCCGAAGGGTGAGGATGCTGCTGCCTCACTGCAGACTCCCGAGGACCTGGAGCCGGCTGGGTAAATCTGAGAGGACTTCCTAACAAGGAGATGGGGCTTGGAGGGGGAGGGCTATGGGCCCTGGACTCTTGTTCTAAAGAGTCCCTCCCCACCCCTGGCCCCCCTTAGTGCATCTGGATGCCTTCAGCTCTAACAGGCTGCCCTCTAAGAGAACATCAGGGAGGGGAGGTTGGGGATAGTAGCCTGGCCTGAGGTCCCAAGGGGAGCAGGTATGTCTGGCTGGAGCCGAGCGTGGGAAGGAGGGGAGTGGGGGCACTTCTCAGGGCAGAAGTGTCCATCCTGGTGTCCCCACCCCTCACCCGGCCCCTCCCCTCCCTCAGGTGGTGGCCATCGACTTGGACGAGGGCCTGAACGGGCTGGTGACGTACCGCATGCAGGTGGGCATGCCCCGCATGGACTTCCTCATCAACAGCAGCAGCGGCATGGTGGGCACCACCACCGAGCTGGACCGCGAGCGCATCGCCGAGTACCAGCTGCGGGTGGTGGCCAGCGATGCGGGCACGCCCACCAAAAGCTCCACCAGCACGCTCACCGTCCGAGGTGAGAGGGGCGGGGCCAGGCGGGGTGGGGAGACAACGACTCCACTGCTGTCCACGGCCCATGTGGGCACGGGCTGCCTTGCTAATGGGTCGCCCTCCCCAACTGGAGCCATTCAACCCAGCAGAGCCTTCCCTGTCTCCACCAGTCAGAAATGCCAGCAGAGGGCCGGCCCCGTGGCTTAGCGGTTAAGTGCGCATGCTCTGCTACTGGCAGCCTGGGTTCAGATCCCGGGCGCGCACAGACGCACCACTTCTCAGGCCATGCTGAGGCCACATCCCACATACAGCAACTGAAAGGATGTGCAACTATGACATACAACTATCTACTGGGGCTTTGGGGAAAAAAAAGGAGGAGGATTGGCAATAGATGTCAGCTCAGAGCCGGTCTTCCTCAGCAAAAAGAGGAGGATTAGCATGGATGTTAGCTCAGGGCTGATCTTCCTCAGAAAAAAAAAAAAAATATATATATATATATATATATATGCCTTTTCCCCGCCTGGCCACCGGGCCAGGTCTCCCTCTTTGATCCCAGTGACAGCAGAGAGGGCTTGAGCATGGGTGGGGCCCTTGGGGTCACGAGCAGGGGTTCAGAGCCCTTTCTCCTCTCTGTAAGCCCAGAGTTTTCATTTGGAGATGTAAAGGAAACCTTCCCCTCCCATGTGTGTGACACACCTGAAATCACAGTGGAAGGGCATGACCCTGGGAAGAGGACAGCTGGGATTCCCAGACTCCCTAAGATTCCTCATCTCCTTGGGGCCCTCTCCATAATTCCCACTGACTCCACTCTCCATCAGGGTGGGGCCAAGGAGAGTTACTATTTCTGATCCACTCTTGCTGTATCTTTAATTCTTGGGACAAAACTGGGACACTGACATGAGCTGTTGCCAAAGGGCCAGGAATAACCCCAGGGAAATAAGTGCACAGTGTAACGGACAAGATGTGGCCTGTTCTCTGGGGCAGCCCCGGTCCCATCTTGGCTCCTGCCAGCCTCATGGGATGGGGGCGGGGTGGGGGGTGGTTAGCTCAGCACATTCACCCTCCTTAATCACGACCTGAGATGGGGAAGACTAGAGAGCTGAGCATTCTCTCTCCTGTTGGTCCAGGCTTGCCTTGTGGGTTCCTGGGGCCAGTTTGAGGACCCGCTTCTGTGTCTATGATTGACAGGGGGATGTCCTCCTCTCAGAGAGGAACCCAGAGGATTTTTCTCCAAGGCTCATCAAATGAGCCCGTCGTTTCTCCTGGTGATACCACAAAGAGTAGCCAATGTGGAGTGGGAGTCATTTCACTATGAAGCCCCATCTGCCAAAGAAATAGGGACCTGGCATGCAGAGCTGAGAAAACAAAGCTGTAAGGGAAATTAGACTTTTTGGAGGGAAAAATCCTTAAAGCCAGGTGCTTTCCCTGGAACCCCATCACAAAGGGGTGTGGGAAGAGCTGAGAAATGGTAACTGTCCTCGTCATCACCATCATCATCATTGTTGTTAGGCACGCACTGGAGAGAGGCTGTGGGGTCTCTCCTCCCTGGGACAGCAGGAGCAGCCACAAGCCCCGGGGGAACAGGGACTGTGGGAGGGAGCTCTGGTCTGCTCTGCCCTGGCCTCAGCAGGCGTGGGGGCCCTTGGCTCATGACCGGGAGGTTGGCCCCTAGGAAATTCGTTTCCTGTTGGTCTGTGGTGTGAGCCACTGCCTTTGGAGCTGGTCATTTAGAGGAGAAGCCAGCCTAGCCTTGTGTGCTGACTCTGCCCGCAGTGCTGGATGTGAACGATGAGACGCCCACCTTCTTCCCGGCCGTGTACAACGTCTCCGTGTCCGAGGACGTGCCGCGGGAGTTCCGGGTGGTCTGGCTGAACTGCACCGACAACGACGTGGGCCTCAATGCCGAGCTCAGCTACTTCATCACAGGTGCGCCCTGCCTCCACCCCTGCCAGACGTGCCGCCAGCCTGGGGTGGGGCCGGGGGACGGGGAAGAGTCCCCAGTCGGCCATCGGGCTTTAGCGCCTGTGGAGCCTCCCTGGGGATTTGCTCTTGGCTCTTCCCAAGGGCTTTGCGGCTGGACCCCTCTGCTCTGGCTCCCGGGGGCCCCCTGAACCTGTTGGGGGTGGGGGGGCACTTACTGAGGTTCAGTCTAGAGGAGGTGGAGCCAGTGACTCCTGGGGAGGAGCCCTGGCCCTCCCTCCACCCCACATCAGGGTGACAAAGCAGTGACTGGAGGAATGTGGCCTTGTCCTTCCCTGGGGAGCTTTACTCATGAGAATTCCCATCTGTTTAGAGGCAGATGGTTTAGGTCTCCCTAAATGGAATGGGTTTAGCTCAAAAATGTCAAGTAGCTACCACCTGGAGAGCTGCGGAGAAATATTATGAAGCCGTGTCCTGACTCAACAGGGGAAAGGGAGCCATGATCGATTAGTGATGTCTGCCATGACAGTAGGCTTGGTAGCTGGTGGCAAACATGCCGTGTATTAGTCATTCCTGGATTAGAACAGTTTTGCAGCGTTCTCTCATGACACTTGAGAGGGCCTGGGATGCTTGGGGAAGGGGACAGTTCTTTCACATTCCTCAGCCCTCCCTTGGCCATTTTACTGGCTCAGTCTTCCCTCTGTCCATGGCCTGCCTGCAGCCACATTACACACATGCTCATATGCACGTGTGTGCAAGCACATACCTGCAATGCACACACCAGCCTCCCTGACACCTCTCCCCCTGGAGCAAGGAATCCCGGGCTCACAGCCCATCCTCAGCTTGCTGCAGCCAAGGTGACCTCCCAGCCCTCAGCCTCTCCTTTCTAGATCCTTTCCCTCCTTCCCCTCTCCAAAGGGGCCCGGCACCCTCAGGACAGCTCCTCATGGTCTGGTCCCAAGACTGCCCCAGAAAAGGCTCAGTTATCAGGACCCCCATATGGCACCAGCCATGGTTCAGCCCCCAGCACCCCTTGTGTCTTAGTTTCTCCCCTGCGCCCTAGGAGCCAGATTGTGTCCGTCGCAGATGGTGCTTCAGACACCGGGGGGGGGGGGAGATACTGGAGGCTTGGGGGCAGGGGGCTTTCCCCAGGGGCAAACTATGTAAGGAAATGGAGTACCTGCTTGCAGCCCCCAGGATGACTTCCCAGCACCCTGAAGTGGCCAGTTCCTGCTCACCTGAGAGTGCTCCCAGCCCCAGGATTCTCAGATTTTCATTCCGCATCTTCTTCGAGGAGCTGTGCAGTGTTCTGGTGCAAGCCAGCCCAAACCCAGTGCAGTGCCGCCCTCTGCTGCCCAGAACAGCACACTGCCGGCCAGCTGGCAGGGGCAGGGTCTCCACGCTGCTCTGAGGGGGCCCTTTCCTGACTTTCTTCTACCTGGGGGAGGAGACCCTCACACTTCCCGCCTGTCCCGGAACTCAGGAAGACTCAGTAACCCTGTCTCCTGTCCACCTGCCCCTACTCTTCACCGTGGAGCCTCTGGGAGTCCCCACTCAAGACCCCGAGATGAGGGACCTGGAGTATGCTCGGCTGATGCCAGAGTCCTCACCCACATGTAGAAGCCCCAAGCCAGGTTGACCGCTCAGACACTTCTACCAGACAGACGGGCGGCAGAGTGGGGAGGGACTCAGACTGCTGGACCCCAAATAGGCGACCGTAACCCAGGGCAACACACACAGCCTCACTAAAGGACCGTTTTCCTTCTCTGGGGAGACAGTGATGGTACGAATGAGACGAAATGGTCCACGTGAAGTGCCTGGTGCACCGTAGGTGCTCAATGAATGGTAGACCCTGGTGATTTCAGGCATTTGGCCCCGGCCTAAGCCTACACTGTCATCAGAGCCCCCCAGAAGCCTGTTCTCTGGCAGGGCTGAGTGGGCAGCACAGCCTTTCACGCCCGGACCACCCCTGGAGTGTCCCAGCTGGAGGCCGAGTTGGTGCCACCGCCCTTTCCCTGGCCAGGAGCCTTATTTCCTGACTGAAGCTTCATTTTCTTTTGCCCTTAGGAGGGAACGTGGATGGGAAGTTCAGCGTTGGCTACCGAGATGCTATTGTGAGAACGGTGGTAAGCCTGGACCGGGAAACCACAGCCTCGTACACACTCGTCCTGGAGGCCATTGGTAGGTACCAGCCCATTGCACACCATCAACATGGTTGTTCTGGGCGGAGTTCATGTAGGGTGCTCTTCCGGGGTCCAGCCAGGCCCAACCCTAGGAGCCAGGCCTGAGCCAAAGGCTCTTTCCCGACGCCAGTGGAGAAAGGGCCACCAGACGCTCAGCGTATTACTGAGCACTTTCCGGGCTTGAGGCTCACTGCGTGACGCCACATGCAAGACACTAAGATGCTGTGGCAGGAGCTATAGGAGTCGGATGGGAGACAAGCATGTAGACAAATCACTGCCAAACCGGGCAAAACAAGGCAGAAGGGGAGAGAGGATGACACAAGGGTCACGGGCACAAAGGGTGGTGGAAACATGGCCAGGGGGCGAGGGTGATCAAGGAAGGCTTCTTGGAGGAAGTGGCATCTGGGAGTGCCTTTGGATCAGTTAGGACTCTTGTTGCAAATTTTAAAATACAATAAACTGACTTCAGCAACATGGGCTCACGATACCTGTCCCCCGGGAGATGGAGCTTCTGGTATGACTGGATTTGAGGCTCAGGCGTAGCCACCAGGCTGCAGTCTCTGCGTTGGCTGGCCCCGCCTCCTGCATGTTGGCTTCATTCTCTGGCTCACATGGTGACAAACTGTTGCTGCAACCCCAGCCTTAATCCTCCTGGGTTCAAGGGCAGCAGCAGGGAGACGGCGGTTGTGTCTTTCCCAGTATCCCCAGCTGAAGCCCTCGGATGAGCTCTGATGAGTTCCATCCTTCCCAGCGCCTGTCTCTGAACTCCTCATCACGGTCTAGCAGGGGTGAGGTGTGCTGGTTAAGTTAGGCCTAAATCCCATGCCTATCCCTGGAGCTAAGGGGACAGTCAGACTCGTCGAGAACCCCAGGCGTCAGAGTCGGGAAGGGAAGGTCCTTGGAGGGACCTTCTGGGCATGGACTTGCCTAAGAGGAAGGATGGTGCTGATGGGCAGAGATAAGGCTTGCCCACCGCCACCTTGAAGGTCCAGTGAGGCTTCAGTACGTGGAGAAGCGGGGAGGGCATTTCAGGCAGAGGAACCGGTCCATGCAAGGGCCTGGAGGTGGGGAAGAGGGGTGTGTGTGTGTGTGTGTGTGAGCTGGCCCATGGTGTGGCATGCGCTGGGGAGGGGAGGCTGTGATCAGGTAAGGCTGGCTCGCGGAGGCCTAAGTGTTGGGCTGGAAGTTTAGTCTTTGGTTTCCAGGCAGCAGGGAGCCCTTGAGAGCTCCAAATGGGAAGAAGGGTGTGGTGAGGCCTGTGTCCCCCAGATGCCCCTGCTCCTCCCAGGAGCACCCAGTTCAATGTTTGCCGAGAGCTCAGGGTGAGAGGAAATGAGCTCTGTGCTCACTCTCCCAGGCCCGCCCATGTCCACATGCATCTTCCCTCTGCCCTGCTCTCCTCCCATCCTGGGGTGGCCACACCACCCTCTGGAGACCCATCATCTCCCTGAGTCCAGCCTTCACGTCAGGATCTGGCCAGCAGGAGGGGAGGGCTCAGGCTCGGGCCTTCTAAGGGGCCTGTCAGCTCACACTGGCTCCGGCCAGGGCAAGTAAGCAGGACCCCCAGAGTGGCGGGAGGCTGGTCCTGAAGAGGAGCGTAGGAGGGTAGGATGACCAACCCCGGGATGGGTGACTGCACCCCAGCATGCGGTCAGCTGGCCTGGGGAAGAGGATGGAGTCACCCGTGGTCCTCAGCCAACTCCAGCTGCCCGTACTCCTCCCTGGGGTGACTGTCCCTGCTTGGACGTGCAGTACTGGGCACAAGCTCCTTCCTCCAGGGAAAATGACGCAACAGCTGCCCCTGGGCTGAGCCACTTCCCCAGCCCTGGGAGGGTCCCGCAGGGAACTGAAGGGTAGAAGCCCTGGACGCCTTAGGCTGAGAGATCAGGAAGGGCTCATCGCTGCACGCAGAGTCCATGGGCCGGGTCTGTCCTGCGGGCGTATTTGTTTGACCCATCTTGTGTTTCATAAAGAATGACAACTAGTTGTGAACATTTAAAAATGAGGAGATTTTATTTAAAAACTCAGACATCCAATTTCTCTTGAGAAATCAGAAGCTCTAGTGTCACCGGGCCCATGCTGTTCCTGTCCACTGTGGACAGGGGCAGAGCACAGCAGCCCCTTGCGGGGGCCCCGCCAGGTGTGCACCGTGGATCTGACCCACCTGCCCCGACAGCAGTTGGGTTCGTCATCTCCGCACCTGCATCTGTTTCCTGGGCTGCTGCAGCAAGTTACCACAAACTTGGTGACTTAAAAGAACAGAAATTTCTTCTCTCATGGCTCTGGAGGCCAGAAGTTCAAAAGGTGTCATGTTCCCTCCAAAGGCCCTTGGGGGGGATCCTTCCTTGACCCTTCCCATTTCTGGGGGCTCTAAGTGCGCCTCGGCTTGTGGCTGCAGAACTCCAGTCTCTGCCTCTGCCGTAACATGGCCTTCTCCTCTCTGTGTCACATCTCCCTCTGCCTTTCCCTTATAAGGACCCTTGTCATTGGATTTATGGCCCACTCGGATAATCCAGTATACCTCATCTCAACAACCTTAACTTAATTACATCTTCAAGGACCCTTTTTCCCAATAAGTTTACATTCACAGGTTCCCAGGGATTCAACACGCCTATATGTTGGGGGGCCACCATTAAACCCACTTCATGCCTCAGTTTCCTCCTCTGTGGAATGGGGATAATAATAACAGTGCCGGGGCCGGCCCCATGGCTTAGCGGTTAAGTGCGCACACTCCGCTACTGGTGGCCTGGTTCGGATCCCGGGCGCGCACCGACGCACCGCTTCTCAGGCCATGCTGAGGCCACGTCCCACATACAGCAACTAGAAGGATGTGCAACTGTGGCATACAACTATCTACTGGGGCTTTGGGGAGAAAAAGGGGAAAAAAAGGAGGAGGATTGGCAATAGATGTTAGCTCAGAGCCGGTCTTCCTCAGCAAAAAGAGGAGGATTGGCATGGATGTTAGCTCAGGGCT